AAATTAATACTGACTAGACCAAATATACTTTAAAATACACAGAAACGTACTAACAAAATCTAAGCAGCTAAAAGTTATTGTAACTATTCGAAAAAAAGTTTTTTTTTTTAATTTATCAGGGAAGGGCAATTGATTAAAAAATTGCGAAAAAAAAAATTTWAATTGGTTGGAACACTGCTAGACTACAGTAATTTGCAAATTAAAGCGCAAAATTATTAAAGGAATTCGAAATGCGATATTTTCGAAATTTTCAAAATCTATTTCAAAATGTGTAATTTGAAAAAAAAAAAAGATTCTAGTTGATGGCTGATACYTTTCCGGTGACAACAACAACATATTTACCATTTTTTGTGAGGTTTTGCAATATAAAATATTTTGCTAAATTTTATTTTTTGTATATAATTTTTAATTTTGTATATATTTTTTTAAAGCCCAAAATTTCACACATTCATCGTTTTTGCTTATTTGTTAGTTAGTTGTGTGCTAATTTGCGCTAAACGAATAAGTGCGGCTTGCTGAGAAAAGTTGTTAGGAATTGAACAAGACAGTGAGGCTACCAAGTGCTTGAAGCTGCCGAACGTTGCTTGCTTTGAGGTGCGTGAGTGGCATGGATGCCRCGACTTTGCAAGGCACACCAAAAACTCTGCTATAGGAAATGAGAACTAAGCAATGGCGATTGTTGTTGCATTAATGCTTAAATGCTACGCATGAGACAAAAAATTATGAAAACTGATGAATTCATAAGGAAAATGCGAATGAAATCAACTCCGAAAAACGCATACAAAAATATATATATTTGTATTAGAAACTGAACTGCAAAACATTGGAACGCAAAAAATCAGGTGTTTATGTGCGTAATTAAACAAAAATTTGTAGAAATGCGCACAAATGAACGAAAACATGCACTAATTAATTAATTAAGGACTGCAACGCATTTGAAACAATTGCAACAATATTGAAAAATTATATAATAGAATATGTAGTATATAATAGTATATGTATGCAACACATAACAATGCTAAACAAATATATTAACGGATTTTTATTATTTTTTTTTTTTGATACTGTTTTTCTATGTTTTATTTGTTAAAGACCTTGAAATGGAGGTCGATTCGTTGGCGAGCCATAATTCGAATCTGAATCGCTTCTCAGATCTGGAATTGGTATGACGGGCTGCATTGTGAGACCCCTGCGATGACATATTCCATGCTCATTAACGCCAAAGTAACGCTTACTGATGATCTCTACAAAAATGCGTGTAGCACACGGTTTTTTGTTGTTTATTATTATTATTTTTTTTGTTTTTTGTTTTGTTTTTGTCATTTTTGGTACAGAGAAAGAGAGATTAGGTATAAGTGTGTTGGTAACTGCTTTGAATTTTCATTTTAAACAATTAATGGTTAAAATTTTAGTTACATTTTACGTTACTTAATTAAATTTAATACMTAAGCACGTGGGCGATTGGCGGTGGGAGGTTCACCGAACAGTTTATAGAGTTAATAGATAGTAGGGAGGGTGCCTAGACAAGTTGAAAGCAAAGTAATCGAAGAGTTTTGAAATCAAAAAGTATTTTACAGTGAAACAATCACTTGCAATTAGTTGAAAATGGTAAAAAATATTGAGAAAATAACGGGTAATAAGTAAATTGAGGCATAACAAATTATAAGGATTTAAAAAAAATTTAATAAA